ATCTCAAAGAGGTAGCTGGCACTCAAAGATACAAGGTGATCGGTTGGCTCCAGACACACTAAGCTGCTGTAGATCTTGTAGCGATGGCTGTAATTTTCCTGGCACTGCTTTAGTCACCAGGTCTTATAGGAAATGTTCAGGCTGGGGACCTGACCAACTGGCAAACCAGTGAAGAACACACTTCATTTCCTGGGAATGGGGTAAGACTGGGGGAGGGAAGAGTTCATAGAATTGTCTGGCACTGAGGGTAAGGGAAAAGGGAAGGATAGCTGCATCGAAAATGAAGATGATTCCAGTGGCATCCCCCCCTTTTCTCTCACAGGGCACCAAGAGACCCTCACAAGAGGGCTTAGGCTCCAACTATCACCACCGCTTCCATGTTTCCTGAAAACCCTAAGTTGTGTGCGCGTTTTTAATAAAACCTTTGAAAGATAATGGCAGTGTACCTTAAGGGCTAAGGGAGAATAAGAGGATGTGGGGAGGAAGATGGGAAGATAGCAACAGGTTCTGAATTCCAGAGTTTAGGGAGGACGATGTGGCAAAGTTAAAGAAGAGATGAAAAGCAGTTTGAATTCCTCAGCCTAGGGCAGGGGTGGGCAACCCCTGGCACGCGTGCCAAACATGGCACGCCAGTAACTTTTGTTGGCACGCAAAACCCTCTCTTATAGCCGAAACCGGTTTGGCTCAGTGGATGGAGCGTCGGCCTGCGGACTGAAGGGTCCCAGGTTCGGTTCCGGTCAAGGGCATGTACCTGGGTTGCGGGCATATCCCCAGCGGGGGATGTGCAGGAGGCGGCTGATCGATGTTTCTCTCTCATCGATGTTTCTGGCTCTCTGTCTCTCTCCCTTCCTCTCTGTAAAAAATCAATAAAATATATTTTTTAAAAAAACCCTCTCTTATAATCTTTCATTTACAATTTTTTTCTTAATATCGACTTTTTTATTTTTCAGATAAATTCAGTGTAGGTGCATCTTAGATAAATAAATAATTTTACATAACAAGTTATCTTAAAGACCATAGACATGGATTGACAAGAGAGGGGAAGAGCAATTTCTATGCCTCTGCCTTAACTCTCCCTGCCTTCCTAGATCCGACCAGTGTTTTGGTTTCAGCCTCAGACACAACGGGTTTTCATTGACAAGACAACCGCCTCACCTACTTATTCAAAATTTCACTCTATAAAAATTAAATCTTCTCTCTCACTTTGCCCACTGGTACTAACGAAAGGGGAATAAATTTCTATGTTTCTCTCGATGCGCGCTACAGCAGTAACCAGGTGACATCATCATCACACCGTATCCGTCTGCACTGAAAAGTAAGTTACATAATTACCGTACTTCTATTACATTATGCTGTATTTGTCTATGCTTTCTTCTTTATTCTGTTATTTTCCTTAGGAAATATTTTTAGTTTGTCACATTTTTGTTGTTATCCATAAACCAAATCTTATAAATAAAAATAATAATAACTGATATGCATACAATGTATTATGATTTATAAATAAAGGTTCTTCATTTTGTGATTTTTTACATGCTTTATCTTTACTGTTCCCTAAGTTGCGCCCATCTTACCATTTTGTAGGGATAGCAAACTATTTTTCTTTCTATTTACTTTAATTAAAAAAGTAATAGCAGTACAGTAGTTTGATTAAGCTAATTAATCACTTACTGACATTTTACTTTTCATCTTTCACCTTTTTCACGTATACCATCATCTCATGTATTTTTCTGTCCTTCTAGATTGTGCAGAATGTCAGGACCACCAGCTAAGAAACGATGTTGTTCAGCTGAAGAGGATGTTAGAGAATTTCAAAAATACTGGACAGAAAAGTTTGGTGTGATTAAGAAAGACAACAAAGCCTTATGTGTTTTCTGTTCTGAAACTATTGTTTGCAGAACATCTTCTGTAAAAAGGCATTTTGAAAATGTTCATAAGAACATAAGCAATAAAACCGAAGAGGAACAAAGAGAATTAATTTCTCGTGAACTCAGCAAAACAAAAAAACAGGCTGATAATTTTATGAACTTCATCCCAGGTAGGTCCAGTTTCAACTTAGTTGCTGCTAGTTTCGAGGTTTCAAAAGTCATTGCCTAACATGGAAAACCACTCAGTGATGGAGAGTATATTAAAGAAGCTTGGCTAGAATGTACACCTTTCCTTTTTGACGACTTCTCAGAAAAAGAAAAGATTATTCAGTGCATTAAAGATTTGTCCGTGAGCAGGAAAACAGTTAAGGATAGGATACTTAAGTTGGCGAGTAACACTGCTGAACAAGTAACAAAAGATTTGTCTTCGTGTCAATTTTTTTCTGTTTGTATTGATGAAAGTACAGACATTACATCGTCATCTAGGCTGGCCATTTTTTCTCGACTTCGTAAAGGTGATGAAATATGTGAAGAGATGGTTGCCCTTCTAACTCTACCTGAGCGAACTACCAGGGCTGAAATATGTAAAGCAGTTATGAACGAATTCTCTTCTCGACAAACTGACATTTCAAAAGTAGTGTCCGTCACCACTGGTGGTGCTCCCTGCATGACTGGTGAGAAGGCAGGTTTTGTAAATCTGTTTGCGAAAGAAGTTGGTCATACACTGATAGGTGTTCATTGCATCATACATGAGGCGGCTTTATGTGCAAGAGCTGGCCCGAAGGAACTGCAGGAAGTGATGCAAACAGTTACCAAAGTTGTTAATTACATTTCTGCTCGGGCTTTAAATAAAAGACAATTTCAAGTTTTACTGAATGAGGTAGAATCTGTGTATAAAGGACTGAAAATGTACAACAATGTTCAACGGCTTAGCCAAGGTTTGGTTCTGAAACGATTCGTTGAATGCTTAAACGAGATAACGCTCTTCTTGAATAACCAACATGTTTCTTACCAAGAATTGTCTGACGCCACGTGGGTTTCTAAACTGATGTTCTTTGCAGATTTTTGTGAACATTTGAATGACTTAAATGTTAAATTACAAGGAACTGTCAAGACACTTGATGTTATGTTTGGTTACATAAAGGCTTTTGAAAAGAAACTGGAAGTCTTCAAGAGGGATGTGGATGGTGAGAGATTTAGATATTTCCCAAACCTCTAGAGACACATCAAAGACCTCCCAAAAGATGACAGAACAGACTGTCAAAGCCTTCAAAAGCTGTTTTTATTTATTTATTATTTTTTTAAATATATTTTATTGGTTTTTTACAGAGAGGAAGGGAGAGAGATAGTTAGAAACATCGATGAGAGAGAAACATCAATCAGCTGCCTCCTGCACATCTCCCACTGGGGATGTGCCCGCAACCAAGGTACATGCCCTTGACCGGAATCGAACCTGGGACCCTTCAGTCCACAGGCCGATGCTCTATCCACTGAGCCAAACTGGGAAAGCTGTTTTTAAACATCATCGAGTCAACTATTGAGCAGTTCTTCTCAAGATTTGCAAAATTCAGAGAACTGGAAGAGACAGCAAAATTCATGAGGTTTCCAGACAGCATGAAACTGGAGGAACTAAACTTACAAATGTTTTCATGGATAGACATGGCTGACTTTGAAATGCAGTTGATTGAATTTCAGAGTAGCTCAATTTGGAAGCAGAAATTTATTGACCTTAGAGTTGACTTGGAAAACATTGAAAAAAAGCGATTAGAGACAGGAGTACCAGAGAGAAGTGTCAAAAACGAACTATTGAGGACTTGGAATGCCATTCCAGAAAATTTTTTCTGTTTAAAAAACTTTGCAACAGCGTTACTCTCCATGTTTTCATCCACATACACTTGTGAATCTTTGTTCTCAGTGATGAATTTTGTTAAGTCTCGTAATAGGAGTAGCCTGACTGATGAAAGTAGTAGCTCGTGCATATCTCTGAAGGTCACGAAATATAAACCTGATGTAAAATCTCTGTCATCAGTGATGCAGCAGCAAAAGTCCCACTGATAATATCAAACGGAGTCATAAAGTTTTCTGTCGGACTATCAGTGTACATGTATACATTAAAAAATAAATGTATTTTTCATCATCATATACTGTGTTTTTGTTGCTCGAATGAATTTTATTATTTCTTCAAGGTTCTTCACATACATACACCTTAAGAGATATCAAATAGGCGTAACATGTTCTCAAAAAATTAGCGTTGGCACGCAGAAGAATTTTGAGTCAGAGATTTTGCTGGTTTTGGCATGCACTCACAAAAAGGTTGCCCACCCCTGGCCTAGGACAAGCATAGAAAAAAGAAGGGGTGGGGATTGGAGGGCGCAACTTGGGAATGACTTGGAGCCCTTATCTAAACTTAACTTTATAAAGGCCAGTGGTAGTCCCCCCAAAATGGGGATAAACATGGCTTCCCCATGGAAAGAACCTTGTGGTGAGGAACTGAGGCCTTTTGCCAACAACTAGCAAGGAACAGAGGCATCCTGCCAACTGCCATGTGAGTGAGGTATCTTCTAAGCAGTCAAGCCTTCAGATGACTGGAGCCCCAGCCAATAGCTTTATTGCAACCTTATAAGAGACCCCAAGCAGAAGCACCCAGCTAAGCCTCTCCCAGACTCCTAACTCTTAGAAACTATAAGATAATGTTTTGTTGCTATTTAAAGCTTCAAAGTTTGGGGGTGATATGTGAAGCAGAAATATATAACTAACTAGAGGCCCGGTGCATGGATTCATGCACTGGTGGGGTCCCTTGGCCTGGCCTGTGCCCTCTCACAATCCAGGACCCCTCAGGGTATGTCGGAGAGCTGGTTTCAGCCCGATCTTCGCAGGCCAGGCCGAGGGACCCCTCTGGTGCACAAATTTGTGCACTGGGCCTCTAGTATGCATATAAGATCTTTGGTTAATCTCTTCCTGCCCTCCCTCTCCCCTCTTTCCTCTGAGATTCATCAGTCTGTTCCATGTTTCCATGACTGTGGTTTCCACTCCTGCATTGAGCATCTGCCCCCTGGCGGTCAGTGCGCGTCATAGCTACCGGTCAGTTGGTCCAACAGTCAGCCAGTCACTTAGGCCGTGGGGAGGGGTGGGATCATGGCCGCCGTGGTGGAGCGGAGTCCCAGGGACGGGGAGGGGGAGGAGGAGCAGCTGGTTCTGGTGGAATTGTCAGGAATTATCGATTCAGACTTTCTCTCAAAATGTGAAAATAAATGCAAGATTTTGGGAATTGACACTGAGAGGCCCATTCTGCAAGTGGACAGCTATGTATTTGCTGGAGAGTATAAAGACACTCTTGGGACCTGTGTTACATTTGAAGAAAATGTTGAACATGTGGATGCAGAAGGCAACAGTAAAACAGTGCTAAAATATAAATGCCATACGATGAAGAAGCTCAGCATGACAAGAACTCTTCTGACAGAAAAGAAGGAAGGAGAAGAAAGCATAGGTGGTGTGGAATGGCTGCAAACTGAGGATAATGATTTCTCCAATAGAACCAACATGATTTGTAACATTCTACATGAAAATGAAGATGAAGAAGTTGTAGCTCCAGCCCCAGATAAACCGTTGGAGTTGGAAGAGCAAAACATTCAAATGAAATTTAATTAAAACCTGAGCTATGAACAGGAAAAACCACTGCACTTGGAAATAGAGGATTCCGGTCCTCTTATTGATACTCCTTCTGAAACAGAAAGTTCTGTGTTTATGGAAACTCAAGATGCTGCCTTAGAAATCACTCCTAGATAAAATGTTTTTAATAATAAATAGAATTTTTTAAATTTTTATATTAAAAAAGTTGTAAATTATAAAGGAATTCCAAAGTGCTTTATTTGTCAATAAGAACTTAAAACAGAATTTCTCTCAGATAAACTCATTTCTTAAGAGTGAAAATAATTCAAACCATTATAACTTAAGCTAAATAAAATGTATAACCATCACACACTTAGTTATAGACACTAAAATACCCCACTTAAGAATTTCCCCAGTCAAGTGCCTTCATAAATTCCTCTTCAGTGAAAGACAGTATCTTGGAAGCTTCAATATGCATCTTCTGCCTTTTTAAAACATCAATTAATTTTAATTGTTTCTTGAACCCTATCATTAATTCTCCTTTTTGTTTTTCTAGCTTCTTGTTTTCTGATTTTAATGCTTCAATTTTTTGTGTTCTTCACTTGCTATATCCTTGCTATTCTGTCTTAATTTACTTAGCTCTGATTTATATTTTTCTGCTTCTTCTAGAGCTCTATTCAAGCGAACCTCTGTGGCACTTTGAGTAGTGGCAGCTTGTTTTTGTAGTCTTCTTCTTTTTTTTAAATTTAATTTTGTTTTATTTCTTAAAGTATTACAAAGAGTATTACACATGTCTCCCCTTTTCCCCCCCTTGACCTTCCCCTGGCCTCCCCTACCCCCCAGTGTCTTGTGTCCATTGGTTATTCTTATACGCATGCATACAAGTCCTTCGGTTGATCTCTTACCACCACCCCAACCCTCCCCAGAATTCCCACTGTAGTTTGACAATCTGTTCAATGCTGCTCTGCCTTTGTATCTATTTTTGTTCATCAGTTTATAATGGTCTTTATTATCCATAAATGAGTGAGATCATGTGGTATTTTTCTCGGCTTCCCAGGGACCGTCTCAACATCACATGGGCCGTCTCAACTTCACCGGGGCGCTTCAACCCCACCGGGGCCGTCTTAACCCCACCAGGACCGTTTCAACCTCACCGGGGTCGTTTCAGCCTCACCAGGGTCGTTTCAGCCTTACCAGGGTCGTTTCAGCCTCACCGGGGTCGTTTCAGCCTCACCAGGGCCGTTTCAACCTCACAGGGGCCGTTTCAACCTCACCGGGGCTGTCTCGGCCTCACGGGGGCCACCTCAGCCTCATGGGAGCCGTCTCAACCTTACCAGGGCCGTCTCAACCCCACCGGGGCCACTTCAACGCCACCGGGGCCATTTCAACCTCATGGGGGCCATCTCAGCAACACGAAGTTTGTCATTCTGTCTTTTGTTGGGCGGCTCCTTGCTGGACAAAATCTCCAGGCATTCTTGCTGGCTGAATTTCTGGTATGTTTGCTTGGATTTTGTTTTCTACTAAGTGCACAGACTGCTTGTCTGCCGTCTCCCAGTGTCCCATGTGAGACTGCATCTGGTGGACCTGTTTGTGCGTTTGCTGGTACAGCGGTTCCATGTTGCCGGCCCAGCCGGGTCCGGTTTCGGCTTCCTCCAAACCTGATTCTGCTTCTTGAGTGTGTCCCTTATGGGTGGGAGGAGTTGAAATCTGCAGTTTGTTGGGTTAAGCTGCAAAGCGAATGTTGGTTCCTTTTGTGCCACTGGCACAGCTTGGGCGGTGATGTAAATTGAGTAGGGCGGGGTCTCAGGGAATCACCAAGGCGGAGCAAACAGCAATGGCGTCTCCACGAATCCTTGCCTCTCCGTGACTCCGCGTCTCCGCGTCTCCATGTCCCCGAGTACCGGCGAGCAGCTCCACGAGAAAGACACCTTCGCTTTCCAACCCACTGCGAGGCCGTCCGCCTCTCCCCGTAGGGGTTCTGGGGTCTGGGACCTCAGAATCTCGCCCCAAACAAGCTCATTGGATTCGAGAGTTTGTAACCCCTTTTGATTGGAAAAAAAAAAACGCGCATCCAGTTGCAGCCCTCCTGGCCCGCGACTCCGTACCTCTGTTCTTGGTGCCTCTGCATATCATACTCATTCTCAATGCTCTTATTTCTTTCCTTCCAGTTGTAGAACTTCCACTGGGCCAGCTTTCCCATGGTTCTGAATGATAGCTGTTTTGTCTTATAGTTGGTATTTTCAATGTTGTTGTGGGAGGCAGCATACACAGGTCTGTACCTATGCCGCCATCTTGGTTCTCCTGTAGTCTTCTTTTATTTTCTAATTCCCTTTCTACTGAAGACAGCTGTTGCTGTAATCCATCACATTTTTTGTTTGCTTCTTCAAAAAGAGTTTTATATTTTTCTGTTTAAGACTGTTGCAAATTAATTGTTCGTTGCTGTCTTACACAATCTTCCTCAAAATTTTTTTACTTGAGACTTTAAATCCTGAATTTCATCCTCCTTTCTATTGCATTCACATACAACATTATCCAATTCCTGCTGCATAACACGGAGTTTGGCCTTCAGAAATCTGATCTGTGCTTCTGTTCCAATGTCTTTACTAGCACCACAAAATATATCATCATCTATATAATCAGGTAGGCCTTCTTCTTCCAGTTGCCCTTCAATTTTGCTAACTGTTTTTGCAAGAGAAAAGTCTGAGAAATCCTCTGGAATGGCAACATCATTGGCAGTTGGTATATCAGAGTATTTCAACTTTATACTTGGAATTTGTTTTCTTTCCTTTATTTGCAGAGTGTAGTTTTTTTTTTTAACCTTGTTTACTGGATCAACATTTTTGCTCTTTGGCTGAGTTTCTGAATATAGATGAACTGTCCCTTCAGATAATAGGGACAGGGGGCAGAGCCGGTGATGGGGGGAGATGGGGGTCCCCTGCCCAGGCCTGACACCACTGGCGGAGGCGTCAGGCCTGGGCAAGGGGCCGGTCCTGCTATCGGGTGATCGGAGGGTGATGGTCTTGTTTTTAGTTCTCTTAACAATGCCTTTCAAAGAGCATTAGCTTTTAATTTTGATGAAGTCCCACACATCAGTTTGTTTCTTTTAAAGAACTGTGGAATCATAGGTAAGAAATTTGCCTCACCCAGGTAACAGAAAAGGGCAAACTGTAGTCTGAAGAATTAGACTAATGGGAACAAGACCAAAGACTAAACTAGCCACCAGGGCACTGAGCAAGAGGGTGGGGAAGGAGGAAGAGACCCAGTTGCAGATGATAAGACATTGGGTAGATTTCAGACATGCAGAGTGGCAGATATGGTTAATTAGCATTCAGCACATATTCTGCAGAGGCTGGAAAGCTAAGGATTATATTTCTCAGAATACCTTGCAGTCAGTCAGATGTACTTGGATGAGATTTAGAAGGCAGAAGTGAGACAAAAACCATTATACACTACTTTAGCTATTCCTCCTGGCAAGCAAGGTCATGGAGATGTGACATATGTTTATAGCAGTGATCCAATGATGTCTCTAGCTTTGCAAATATTGAGAGGTGATTGCATCAGAGCGTAGCCACGGCAATGTCCTGATCATAGTTTCAAGATCCCTGGATCAGAGTTGTAGCTACTTGCTCTTAAGCCCAGTCATCAGTGGAGACTTCCAGCTGCCCCACCCTCCTGACTGTGGCAGAGGTAACAGCTTCCCTGGCAGAGCACTCCTCACATGTTCTGGAGGTCATTTCTGGAATTTCAGCCCAGAGGGCCCCTCCAGACTTTCAAATTTACTTTGTAAGCCTTTATGTCCTTGTATCCTTAAACTTCTTGGAGGGGTTTTTGTTTCCTGCATTGATCCCTGAGTGATAGGAGATTGTATCTGGGAAGAATGATAAAGAATAAAAGGTCTCTCACCGTGTGGGAAGGATGTGACAATGTATGAAATAATTTATTTGTTTAATGAGCATATAACAGACATGAAGTGGATCCTATTGTTAGATACTTGGAATAGCAACTTGCCCTGAAGGTGCTTACACAATCTGATGATATCATGGTATGTTGGGACTCTGTGTGCTCACAGACAAGATCTCAATCAAATTTGGAGAAATCATGAAAGAGGTGACTTGTGAGCTGTTTTGTTTTTTGTTTGTTTTTTCAATGGATGAGTAGGAATTAGTCAGCAATGAGGAAGGGGATGATCCTTCTACCTATAATCTGTTAAGCAAAACTTTTAAATATCTGTGTTCCCATTTCTCCCCCACACCTTCTCAGGAAAGTGAAGGAAGGAGCAGGTGTGTGTTTCTAAAGACATTAGAGGAGGGGGGGGTTAAGGATAAAGTAGGAGCTAACGGGGGAAAGTGAGGCAGAAGTTTAAAAGTGTTTTGAATAAGGAGGTGGCAGCAGTTGACCTAAGAGAGATTCTGGGCTTCCCTAGAGACTAAAGGTAAGGCATCCTCAAGCCAGCCTCAACTTTTCAGTCTTCATGCCCTCACTTATCATAAGAGAGTCAGAATGGCATGGGATTACAAGGCCTAGGCCAGGTTTAGTGTCAGGGTTAGCACTTACTAGCATATAGACTTGGACATATTATTTAACTTCTAGTCTGTTTACTCATTTATATAATGAGGATACGGATAATACCTCCCTCCTACAGTGTAAAGGTCAAATCAGATAATGGATGTTAAAAACAAAAAGTTGTAAATTATAAAGTACTACAAAAATACTAGTCACTATTATCTTAATAGGTCTTGTTGATTCTATCTAAGGTATATATTTCTGTTATAGACTGAAGTGTGTCCTTCCCAGGTTCATATATTGAAGCCCTAACACTCAGTGTGACTGTATTTGGTGATAGGGCCTTGAAGAAAGTAACTACGGACAAAGGGAGTCATAATGTGGAGCCATAATCTGATAGGACTGATGGTCTTGTAAGAAGAGGAAGAGCCCAATGGATATGCTCAGTGATTGAGTGCAGACCTATGAACCAGGAGGTCACAGTGTGATTCCTGGTTAGGGCACTTGTCTGCTGGGGGTTGTGCAAACGACAGCAGATTGGTGATTCTCTCTCATCATTGATGTTTCTGTCTCTCTCCCTCTCTCTTCCTCTCTGAAGTCAATAAAAAAATTTTTTTTAAAGAGGAAGAGAGGAGAAACCAAGATGGCGGCATAGGTAAACACCGGAGTTTGCTGCCTCGAACAACCACTTCAAAAATACAACTAAAAGACGGAA